CCCTGATCACAAATATAACACCTATTCTTGGCGATCCAGCGCAATTTGGCGACAGAGCAGCGCTGAACGTTCCCTATATGGGTGTGTACATAACGAATTCAGTGGCGAATAAGAAGATGTGGCCCCAAATTGCCTATAATTGACACCACACCAGAAGTTACTAAATTCGCAATCAGATCCACTGCCTAGCCTATGAGGATCAACGTCCAGCAACAGTCTTGTTCAATGGTGCGTGAAAATCGAAATAGTTGAATAGCACTGACTCATGAGGTATAGCTACTCAGAATGTGCCCATAAATGGCAAATATCCGAGTTATATTCATGCGCAGACACAAATGGAAGCGAAGCGAGAACAGCGAAATCTAAAAAATGCAAAAAGCCACGACGCAAGGGGAGCCGAACCATCAACCCCACCCTCACTGTCCGATTGCGAAACCATTTACCACCTACGGCCATCCGATGCTTCGGCTGTGTTGGCCGCTCTTATCGTTGATGAAACCATTGCAAGAAGCCGTTCACCCTTGAGCACGTGACCCAAGTTGGAAGCTCACTTGCGGCGATTTTTCGCTTCGATTCAAATAGCCCCTTTATAAGGACCCCCACTCAGCAACTGGTCAAAGTTGCAAGTGACCTACGCCGTATAGAGGCCCAGAACGAAGCAGATTCCAAAGATTTCTTTTCACTCGTTTTTTACCTTTCCTGGAAGCGCGCAGCGAAAATGAAGCACACTTTTCAGGTCCTTGCATGAGCCCCTACAATATGCAAAAAACCGTTTTCGGAAAGCGCACCACGCCCTGAACGACCTCCCTTGTCAGAGCTATTAAGTATGCGAGTCAGAAGCGTGCGGATGTACCCCCCCCCACCCTGGCGGCTAGTCTAAGTCATACGGAAAATTTCACAGCTTTGTCGTTTTGAGAGGCCATTGGGAAGAATATATTATGAAGTGATGCACATCATCTAACTGACAGAATCGCAACCATGGCACATCATTTTTAGGAATTCCCCAACGGGTGGGCGATTTGGTCGGGAAGGCGTGAGTGTATTTGGTCTCAGAGAAAATTTTTTAATTTGGTACTTGATTTTTCTCGTCTCAGGGACGTTTTAAAGGAGGAAGGGGGTGTTGTATTTCCCTACTCTGACTCCTGAAAAAGTTGCTTTTTGGTTTCGAGATATGCCGTTTCTTTCTTGAGCAGGGTACAGACATTCTTTGTGTGAAACACATAGAGCGAGGGGGCGTACTTCAACCTCTGCGGAGGGGGCCAGAAGAGGGGGGGGTCGTACAAGCCCGTTCTCGGATGGGAGGGGGGTTCGTATGGCACCACGGCCTTCCACACATCGCGATGCTGTACCTTGTTCTTGAGACGTTGCTGAGATTGAGAGAGGTTGCTGACTTTCCGTGACTTCTCCTGTTTCACATGTGTTAGCTATTTATCCCCCCTCCCTGTTGGAGCTGGAAAGCAGTGACTGATGGTGAGAAGGAAAGTTTCACTACTTGTAAATGAGGAAAAAGATTGGAAGTTTTCAGTAACCTCGCATGGAGACATCTATACGATACCATGGAGAGAAGAGCACAAATCTATGAGCATTCAGTCACAGAATCGGTAAGATTCATTTCATTAATGTGTACCAATCAGGTAGTTGGTTCTGACATTGCAGTGAAGGTAGTGAGCGTTTGCGTTCTTGTAAACATTCCTGAAAGCACATTCCGCGCTCGTCATGCGGGAGGAACTGCGCCTACCTCTGTATCCTCGCCTCTCTTTCTTAATAGTAACAACGGAAAGATCCAGATCCACCCATCTGACGAACGAGGAATGTGCTTTCTAGGCATATGAATGTAGTAGGAAAGCCCTTTACAACAGCTCGTTAGATAAACACCCTAACGATACAAGTTACCGTTCATTTCCAAGATAAAAGTAATGGACTTCCAGGTCTCAGCAGCGACCAGTCTCGGCTGACTACTCTCGAGCCAGGAGTTATCCGAAAGAGTAATACTTTCAATATTTTGAACTGTACGAAAAAGTTTCAAACCACCATTAACTTTCAGAAATGGGCCAGCTGGTGTTGGGAAGTATCGTCGTGACACTGCTGAAGAAAGTGCCTCAGTGCTAGAGGACCTGGATCATTTGCTTGACAATGAAGAGCTCACTTTGCAGCAAAGAATGAGCAGACTGGAGGTACTTAGTTTTCGCGATGCTAGTCTTAGGCAGCGTTCATACTTCGCGACAGCAGCGGCGATCGCGGCGACCTCGGCGATCGCCGCGATCGTCGGTACGTGGCAGAGCGCGCCCCAACGCTATTATGGACTGCTCGCTTGATAAATAAGGAAATCCAACTTGTGAGACCTTCTTTTCTCTTAATAATGGCTACTAACTGATAACTTACGACTTTCTATACATAAGCGGATCTGGAATATGAGGTAAGGAGCGTTTTTTTAGGTCCGCGAACTCCATTTCCTGGGTGGGCTTCTTTTTGTTCTTTTGTTTTTTTAATGTTTCAATTTGTGCAAGCGCCTTGGAATTCTTATCGTCTGAACTGTTCCAACTTCCAAAACATTTATAGTTTACAAGTCGAGTTCAAACAACGAAGAAAAAAAGAAACAGAAAGAAACTCACCTAGGAACCAAAACACTAATCATTTTACGCAACATCAACAGGTGAAAACTTTATAACCTCATGTATAAGCTCGACGAATGAAAAAAGAAACAATAAAAACCTACCCTAAATGAAGCTCTCACGCTTTTTGCTCATTTCTATCCTGAATCAAGAAAGAAAATAGAAAACAAAAGCCATTAAGTTGGGTTCACCTTTTTTTAGTGTCAAACCAAGCTTCAAAAAATCAAGCTTCAGTATCTAAGAAAATTGCAGTTAAAGGAAAAAAGCATGAAATTGAGTCGCTTCTTCCCAAAAGCCTTCGGAGCGCAAGTAATAGCGTTGGGGCGCGCTCTGCCATGTACCGACGATCGCGGCGATCGCCAATCGCCGCTGCTGTCGCGAAGTATGAACGCTGCCCTAGGTAACAAAGTTCGAAAACAGCAGTGCAGTATACTAGCTGACTTACTAATGAACAAGTAACTGTGAAAAAAACCGCCATTAATAACAACCGCCACGACAACACACAATGTGGGCCGCCTGTTGAGTGCCTATGAGCTCACAAGCACTGTGTCAGCACTTGTAGACAAATCCTGCGATTGGAAATTGTGAGTAGTGACGCTCAATAACGATACGTCAAGTGACCCTTCAGGAAAAAAAAGCAAAAAAGAATTCATGGAGAACGGACCCCCAGCCTTGATGTACGAGTTCTCCAGACCTGCTCGTTCAATGCTAGCGAAGCGATATCCTGCAGCCTCAAGCTCACTAATCATTTCCTCGCGTCATCCAATGCTAATACCATCTAACAGTGGGAAAACACAGAGTGTAAAAATAGATTTCGCGACAAAAAAATAGCCTTTGGGTTTTGGTGGGCGGGACAACTGGGGAGGCGTCAGAACTGCCGCTCATGAGAGCTGCAGCGCCTCCCTCACTTCCAGTGAAAGAACGAAGAAGGATAATCTCAAAGTCTCGGGAGCAAACTACTCCTATAAGTAAGGACGCTTGCGACTTACTTGAGCGCGAGGAGTGTCCTGAAGCATCCTGCGCGTTGCTAGCCATTTTTTTTTGTTTCCACTGTAGCACACCCAGGAGGACCGTGATCAAGAACCGGATCACCTCCTACTTTAGAATTCTAGCCCCCGTTCAATGACTTTAAACGCGCATCTGCCAATGGCTAGCAGTTACGAGAGAGAGAGAGAGAGATCAAAAATAACTGGAGATTCCTGGTACCAACCATGGTGTTTTTTAGCATAGTTTTCCTCAAAGACACCTTTACTTAAACGTACTAGATGTCGCACTTGTTGAAATCATCACTCCATTGTTCCGAACAACGTACAAACTCTGTCTCCTCGATACCTGCTGACGCCATCGTGATATTAATTTCGATTTCATCAACATAGACAAAAGCTTTTCGGCATCGCTGTAGTGGCCTTTATTGTGAACGAAATCAACGAACACTAAGCGTTTTACTAAGACCATGTACTTTGTAAGCTGCTTGCATCGTCGCGACAGTTTTTCTTCCGTTCTCCCCGATTAGAAAGGGAAACTTCACTGTCGCACGTTGTTCACGAGAGTCTGCGATTTCTTTGCGTCCTAAGTGCACTAGACATGAAAAAGTGCCAAAAAAGCCCATGTCCGTCATTGTCGGCTGACGCCGCTTGACGTACTGACTCAGAAGAGCAACATGGCGACACCCAAGCGACACCTAAACGGAATCGTACTCCTCCGCATCGTGCTACAAGTTCGCGATGCGGAGGGACACGATTTCGGTTTTTTCAAGTCCCCCTAACTCCACCCCTCGCACCTCCTCATTGCCAGTTGAAACTGAACCACTTGCCACAACTAGAAGCTCAGCGAACAAGACTCATATTAATACCCTCATATTGGAGGAGACATAAGTGAATCTCTCTCATTCCAGATCAGAAATGGCCGTTCTCTCCCAAATTCGATTTCAAACGCTGCAGCGATGAAAGAGAGAGAGTCCAGACGATCTCCGGAAAAGATTCCTGGTCAGCATTTTTAGAGCGGTTAGAGAACAAGCCGAGACTGGATCAAAATCATCAGGAAAATTTTGTCGAAAGAGAAAAACCAAAGGCTGCTAGTTTGTAGCCCTTAACTTTTGGATTCTGCTTGGTTTCGTGGGCCTCAGCTTAGGATAGGCGTTCCAGACTTTTATCCCTTCTAGTCTCGACTATTTCAGTGACGTCAAATTTCCGACTCAGAAGGGGAGATTCACTGGGCTCACCTGCACCTGCTCCATTGCGACGTATTCCACAGGAACCAAGGTGAGACATACTCACACACTCCTAACATTCATCGTGGAGTTTGAAGAGACCGGCTGCATATCCTCAAACCGACTCTCCTCTCTTGAACATACGTCTATGCTTCCCTTTAACATGGATCGTCGCCTCTCTCACAGCCATCTCTCTTGTTGCCCTCAGATATGGACTGATATGGACTTTATCCTTATCCCTGAAGAAGCGTGTGTGGCGGTGCGGGGTGAAACCACAACGAGGGCAACGTCCCACCAATTGTTGCCAGTTCGGGTTCGCACCATTTGAAAGGAGATGACCGTAATTTGTCGTCTGCAGGAGTAATTACCCTACGGGTTCCCCTCTTAGAAATAAACCGAAACGACTGGGTTAAAGGTACCATGGCGCAGTTCGGCAACGGGGGGGGGGAGGGGGGAGGGGCATTTGCACTTTCGTTGCTTCACTAGTTCTGGTTTACAAGTCTCACTCTGGTGAAACCTGTGAACTCTTGTGAAGCTGGAGCAAGCTCGTCATCATGGTAAAACCTGTCAACTCGAGAAGAGGCTGTCTAGACGTCGCCGAACAGCGCCGACCATTTCCAGCTTAGAGAGCAGAGGCTTTGCAAATCGAGTTGGACTTGTTGTTTAAATCAAACTGAATGATTTTCAAATCAAGCTTGATTGGCTGTTCTTCGAATTTTAGAAAATTACTTTCTAATTTTCAATTACTCTTCACAAAGAACGGTGGGGTCATTGTCTTAATGTGATTTAAGTTATTTAATTTTTATAATGATTA